TCTCTCTATATATATATATATATATATATATATATATATATATATATATATATATATATAAAATTAGTAACATCGGTAAATAAAGTTACGTTTTCTACTTTTTGACGATCGTCTCTACAATATCGATGCTTAGCAAGTTTGTCGTCCACTCCAGCATCCCTTTAACGTCCGCTATGTGATCTATGGTCCAAGCAACGAACGGTTACAACTTAACGTACGTTGATAAAACAGGCTGCGTTTTGATTACCAAATATTTTGATTTTTAACATGTATGTGAATCGCTTATAATTATGTGATTTTCAAGAGGAAGTTCCCAAGTATATACTTATTATTTCCTTAATTTAATAATATATATTTTGTATACGCGTAAATTTCTAAGTGTCATTTTGTATACGTTTTTAAATTAATAATAAAGTCAGGATAGGACGATATATATAGTAAGAAAAAAATGTTTGTCGAAATATTTGTGAATATTTGTAATTATTAATCACACGTAGAGAAATAAGTACTATTATGGTGTCAAGAAAACTATATTTAATTAAATTCTACTATAACGTTAATGATAATAACCTTATTATGCATATATCTACTACCATTTTCCTGTTAGAAAAACTAAAAGTATAGTTAAAACCAAAAATATAATATAAAATTTTAATTACTATTTTTTTTAGATATTTATCTTTGAAAAACTATATTATTATGAGTGGTCTTAATGAAAATATTTTAAACAATATAAAATAGAACTCTTTTTGAAAACCAAGCAATAATAAATAAAGAGCCTATAAGAGTTCAAGCAACAGATCAGTGCAATAATATTAATATACTTTAATGACATATCTCTCTTATTTGAGAGGATATTTTATTAAAAAAGGACCATACGCATTTCGGTCTAACTTTACAGACCCTCCTCAGTGGTAACTTAAGTTTTACAATAATAAATACATAAAACGTTTATCATAGAAGTTGCAAGCAAAAAGATATCGAATATATTAGTATTATTGCATTAAAACATCTGTTGAACTTTTATAGGCGTTTTATTTAATTATTGAAAATATTTTAGTGTTCTAATATAAACACATATGCAGGATTGGAGAATCTGAATAATTAAGAAGATAAAATAGCATAAAATAATTTATAAAATGTCGAGGGTAAATCGAGGTGGATTCTCTAATCTGAATATTATAATTAGTAGTTTATGTGAAAAATGAAACGTTACACTTTAATACAAATAAAAAAGGAATCAAATGTACAATATATTATACATTTGATTCTTATGTTGTAATATTTATATTATTTATTACAACGACGAATTCTATTAATAAAGTGCAACAAGTAGCTTCATATTCGTGTTATTCAATTATTCCAGAAGAATCTGACCGTAAGAAGATTAGTTAACTCAATATTAAAAACGAAATAAATAAAAAAAACGACCTCGTCTATAATTAAAGTCATTCGATTTGTGGACACTGGCCCTTTTATGCATATGCTTGTCTATTTACACAGCGTCGCGTGCTTTCTCCCTCGGGACTTCGCGGTCCCCCTTCGGCTTACAAGCAAATAGGATCGAGTTTCTATGTTGAGCGTTTCATGATTGATTATCTGAATACATGATATCGTAATGGACCTATAATGATTAGAGATGACATAGAGATATACGATGCACGTAGAGTGATGCATCGACGTGCGTTTTAAGTGTGAAAAACGCGAAAGACGCGTCCGACGTTGAAAGGGTTGATCCATTTAGTCATTGAAGATTAATAGAATTCTTGTTCAGTGCGTCTGACGTAACAGTTACGTGGGATTCGCTGACAAATTAATTTATTAATTATTTTCGTTTATGTCCATTTTTGTGTTAAAAATTTATCAAACTTCCTCTTCTCTCTCTTGTTTTTTTTTTTTTATAATATGTTCCCTTTCTTTTAAAGAAAATGATATATTGACACGCGTTTTAAGTGTGAAAAACACGAGAGACATGCGCTCGACGTTAAAAGGGTTAATCCATCTAGTCCTTGAATTTAGTTCGCAGACTACGTTACATTTGTTTCATGTAGTTATGTAAAACGGATTTGGCTTGTATATTTGCAGATGAACAAAGAAAAATGTCGTCATACATATGTGACGTGCATACGTGATAGCAAAAACATGTAAAATAAAATTGAAAATTTTGAGTCAAGATAAACTTGCAGTGAAAGGTTGGTGCGTCATATATGTGTAACGCTGGTAGCAAACGTGTTAATAATAGTTATATGAAACTTGCCTTACATAAAATATTCATATTTAAATTTAAAATTAGATGAAAAGTTTTCAGTAAAATTGTGATTGCAAAAATAATATCACGTATATCAGCTGAAAAATTGTAATTTAACTTTAAGTTCAAATCTGAATATCTCACACGAGACAAGTTCCCAGTAACGATTATTAATACGGTCTAAGATGGATTTTACTGAAATGAGAGGGCCAATTTCACGCGTTTACATCCTAGGTTTTCGTTTTCAGTAACATGCAAATTTTTATTCTTTTAAAGAAACGATATGTCGCGACATAGCTATAGCACGAGATATCGATTGCATCAATCAATCTACATTCTTAACCATGTGTCGTGTAATATGTTCATATTTAAGGTATTAATTTCTAAATGGAAACGATTTTACTGATAGGAGGTTCAACAGATCAAACATCGAGTACATTTTGTACTGCGTAAGTTCTGACAATAAAGACCTTCTAATTTGACGATACTATCTTCTCTTCTAGTTTTGATGGTACTTATGTTTATTGTAATTACGTAGAGTCTTTATTTCAAAGTGTATCGCTAATTTTTGGCGATGCATGCTTGTAAGATTTGTCTGTTGCTATGACAGATCGAGGTTCTTCGCGAGTCTTAGGTAGACAGGACGCAGCCACGTGAGTCTTATAAAATGAACAGTGACATTTTTATCAGCTTGTTCCCATGACCCTTTATAGCACCAGTAGCACCATGAACACGATTACACTGATGTAAATCGTCTATGTGGGCAGCACTTGACTGCCAGATGACCCGTCGTGTTCGCGCGATAACCTAAAAGGCACCCATGGCTTCGCTCAAGCTGTCAGAACTTACCTATTTATAAATATCATTTCGCCATATTTCTGTATCGGACCGCGAACTTCCAACGGATGTCTGAGCTGGATTCGATTTCCTCTCGATATTCTAAAATCGATATCGATCGTAAATACGCCGAGCGTCCGCATGGATCTTCCCTGGCAAAGAAAGAAAACGCCCTGCAAGTGATACGCGTTCTGATTGATTGACGACCTTAATTCTCGTAAATTTGTTTATTCTGTCACAGATTAATCCTACGTGTATAACACGGAAAGATTCATATCCAAGGTCGGAGCGATTCTAAAGTAAAATAAATGCGTATATTAAAGAGAAACGCGATATTTATATTCATGTTCGATGTGTGTTTAATGGAAAACCGAGCGTTCCTCGTTGACGTCGGCAACAATAATGCACCATACACTTCGGTTCTCACTTGGCGAAGTGGCGTCTCGACGAAATTAATTTATTGCACAACTAGCGTCTGCACTTGAAAGTCGAGAAAAAAAACTTCCTCGGGATACCTAACGAGGCGGAAAAGCGCTCGGTGTTTCCGCAAAGACCACTTGGAGCGACTTCCGCTCTTCTGTATGACGCGTTGCCACTTCGGAGGGAAAATCTTAGCCGAGTAAAAAAAGTAACAGCTGCCAATATCCTATCGTCAACTTACCCTCTAAGTAGCGTACTTATAACGTAAAGTTAATCGTTTACGTGTCGTCGAAATTTATGTAAATATACAGAATACATATTTGGTTAACTTCTTTGGTACATTATTTCTCTCTCGCTGATCACTCGTTGATGATTCTTCGCTCGGCGCGTTTAAAATCGAATAACTTATGTATACCTTTTTAAATAAACGTAAAATATGAGATTAACGAGTATCTCTTATCTTTATTGTGTATCGGGCATAAAGTAGCCCGTTCATAATACTTAATGGTAAAATTAAAGTATCTTTAGACTATCTTACTCTGTCACAAAGTCGCTATTTTATTCCGTTCAGAATCAAAATGATCTGGTTGCTTGTCGATACTAGTCTCTCACACATGATTGGTAGTGAAATTTTAACATTCATCGGCAAATGTGAACACTACAAATCCAAATGTGTTATTTTGACTGAATTTCTTTCTACATGTTTCTTATCATTTGAAATCATATATAACGAAAGCTTTAGTTAAATTACATGTTTATGTATTTGAAAACAATACACTTGGATTTGCAGTGACAGTTTTTCAAGAACGATTCAACGCTACGGTAATTGGCACCTAATTGGCATCCCCCTTATAATGCCTTGTTGGCACTCTCGAAAAACCTGACTCTTCTTACGACCAACGGCATCTGTTCACAGCTTTAGTTGTAAAGATCTCTTTTGGAATCATAAAGTGCAGGCAAGAAGTTTAACCGCAACTAGTCGCAAGAAAAGCCAGATTCTTCTAGAGTTCCAATGAACAAGGGGGATGACAATAATTGGGTTTTTTATCTTATTTAGAAGAAGTGAAGTAAGGATTTTATCAATGTGTTCTTATCAACAATTGATCCAAATTGAACCTCTCTCGTAAAGGCGCGTTTACCATAGTCGTTGTAAATTCTGGTCCATAGGTACCTGTTCCATATAATTTACATACTGCATCTGGTAATTAGGCGGGCCGAGGTAACTTGAGAACCCATATTCACTGTTAGAGACGTCCATAGGCATTCGCCTATCGCTGATAAGCTGTTTGCTGTCGGACGGGACACCCTTCAGATCTGGAAACGGCGTGGCCTCATTGGTGTTCACGCACGTCTTGTATTCCGTTTTGATCAGTCGATTGCAATCATGCACGCTCGATGAAGTTTCCGTCGCGAAATTGCCTCTGTACTCCGAACTTAGAACGTGCTGTCTGTTATCTACTATATCGTTTAAGCTCGACCTGCCGGGCATTTCCGAGTTCAAGTCCGATTTGTACTCCGGACTAATGCTGGAGTCGATTCGCATCTCGTTTGTCGAGTTAGACCTGAAATCGGGACTGGGACGAAGCTCGTTCGTTCTGAAGTCCGCCTGCATCGGGGCGGCCAAGTCTGATCGGACGTTCGTCCAGTAAGGGCCGTTGTAAGTCTCCTGCACGTTAGGCTTGCCGTCCTTGATGAGAATCGGCACGGCGATCTTCTTTAAGGGTTGATTCTTCATGTTTTGCGCTTGTAGCTTCTCGGCGTCTTCGATCCGAGCACGTTTGTTCTTGTACCGTCGATTCTGGAACCAGATCTTCACTTGTGTGCTAGTCAGCTTCAGAGTCTGGGCCAACATCTCTCTCTCAGGTGCGCTTAGGTATCTTTGCTGCTTGAATCGTTGCTCTAGCTCGTAAACCTGTGTCTGATAAGATAAGATAGCGCTTTAAATATCTCAGAAGTATTTTAACGAAATTTTATTTATGAACTGTATAACTGTACAACTTGTATCTCAATACAATTTTTCTCACAAAAGTCTCTGGTCAAGCTGTAATTATGCTCGCATTTAAATGTCATATTATATTGCAATAATTATCTACAGAGTGCAAATAGTTAAACTTACTTGTGAGAATAACACTCGGGGCTTCCGTTTCGTTCTTTTGCCAGACTGGCTTTTGCGCAGCTCTGTCTTGCTAGATGTAACGATGTTACCTAAAAATAGTTGTCACAATAATTCCGTCTTATCGATATAGTTAAAATTTAGCAGTATAAAACATGTAAGAAGTAATTATAGCTATTATATTTTGGTAATTTTTGATTAGTATAAAAGTTGCCTACTTGCTTCTTTCGAGATTATACTTTGGCTTTACTTAGCTTATTTCCTTTGACAATAATCGTTTTTTATAAATTACGCGGTCATTGTGCTGCGTTAGAGAAAGATATGTTATCTGCTGTGACAAGTCGTCAAAAATAGACGGAGAGATTTTCGGGTTAAAATTACTTCGATTTAGTGGAGATTGCTGAAGCAACTTGCAAAATTTTATATAACTCTGCATCATAGGATCGTTATTGATTATTCATATGGTAAAAAATTGATTAAGTTCTGAATAAAATTAGCCAGATATCAGCGCCTACCGTCCTCGGTGATAGAAGTCTCCTCATAAGGCGGCACCACCTGGCTCAACTGGTGAACGTGATTGAGATCCGGGTAATGCTGGTAGCTGGATATCGATTGCTCCTTAAACTTATCAATTTCCCAATTGTTTTCGGGCACTGCGTTGTATGGATAATAATCTTGATGTACATGCTGTTGCTGAGTTGGGTTTTGATGATGCGAGTAGCAATCCATAACGCCGAGTTGCTGATCTTCGTTGAGGATATCGCGAACACTGAATGGAGTCGATATTGAGGAAGACAACATCCTAGAGCATTCTTTTCGGTCCTCAATTGAGTCTCCTGTCACGTTCCGAACGTCCACTATATAAATACTTGATCGATTCTCAATGACAAGTACATTTTCTTCTGCACTTCTTCTTAAGGAGATATTATCTTCTTCATTGACAAAATTCAGTGACAGGAGTTCTGAACATTCGCTTTTATTTTGCACTCGTGGTGTCTTTACAAATCTTGATTCAAGTGATCAAAAATCTAAATTATTGAGTTAATAGCCCTCGCGGATTTAACTAACGCCATAAATATTTAATGAATTATATCACGAACTTCCACAAAAATCTTGATTGCGGTCTCGATGAATCGAACTTGACAACAAGCTCATATAAAAGCCTAAAGTTCGCACGCTTGACGTGTGAACTTGTCAATTGGAAATTAATAGTCATCAACTGTAATAGTTATCAACTGTCAAATAGGAATACCCGTGACAGCGAAGAGATTTGCAAATTCACGAAGTCTCGACAGCTCACAATGTTGTTAACCACCCAAACTCGGTAACGATGCACAGCAAAAGATACACATCACTGTGACAAGTTCAACAACAAGTGCAAATAAGTTTGCAAACTGCAAAATCCACAGAATTACAACACACGGACGTTTATCGACGTTACTGACGATTCTTCTTTCGGGGGATGGTCACGGTCGAGTGGTCGGGTCGGAGGGCAGACGTATAATGTGACTTGGTCTTGCAAGGGAGTCAAGTGTTGGTCCCGTCGCACTGGAACGTCACGGCGATACATCGTTGTGAGCGTAAGGGTGAGTCGGTGTGCGACTGAAGATTTTTACCACCACGTAGAAACACTCGCACGTGTTTTCACGGTGATTTCGAGCATCGCGATCTTCGTGGAATATAAATAGAAAGGTATCCATACTCGTCAATTATCATAACATCATATGAAGTAATGCATCAAAATTACTTCTCAAGCAATTAATTCTAAATGCGCAAATCTTCTAATGCATTTGTGAACAATAAAGACCGATACAAGAGTTTCTCGTTATTCACTTGCTTCTATGTGAATATTTCAAATAAGTAATGTATCATAATTTTAATTTTTTATGCGTGAAAGATACAAGAAAGTGCTTTTTATTAAATTTATGTTTCTAAATATTCACGGGCAGATGTCAGATAAAGACCGAAATTGCACATACTAAATTTGCATAGAAGATTCTGAATCGAGATTGATCATGAATCAATTAGTCGAGCCGCGTTTGGATGGTCGAAAAACTTTTGACTTACGGCTTACTCTGAGAGAAATCGGATAAAAACACGGGACGACGACTTTGACGTATAATAATTATTGGCATCGAAAGTGGCTGAATGTGATCAAGAAGACAGCAAAATATCTTTTTGCGTCACGACAGCCATAACAGCCAGCAACGTAAGGCGGAGGAGAGTACGAAAGACCCGCCTATATGAGAAGAACCCGACCAATCCAGACATGCTGCGAGTCGGGTTCTAAAAGTAACGATTAAACGATCATTTGCGCAATACATTCTCCCTCTCGTTCTCCTCCGCTTAATCATCACTGTTCTTCCTGGCTGCAACACGTAGTGGTGTTAGTCTGCATACTTATATCGTCTGGCGGCCACATATGATCTTGAAATACAACAGAATTCATTTCTAAAGTGAAAAAGTTGAAATAATTGACATCCTATGCTGTGCATTTCGCCGATGAATAACTAAAGAAAAATGTGAATCACGAAAGAGGTTTACTGATATTATTTCCTTCAGTTCCTAATTTGCTTATTGTGCCATATATAGAATGAGTATAACATTTTCTGTAACTAACTCATATAGAGAGTATAATATTTCTTATAAATCTTTCAGATATTTTTTAGATATATGAAATATAGGAAGATACTTTGAGTATATTTTGAAAGAGAAAGAGAGTTGATCTAACGAAAATTATTTTTATATTTAAAAAAATTTTTATATTTTAAAATTATTTTTTATACTTTTTGGTTGTTTCAATACGAAAAATAGATAGTAATAATATACACAATATTAATAACATATATAAAGTTATTCATTAATATATGTGTATGATAGTAGAATTTAGTAAAACAATTTCTTGACCACAATTTATAATATTTATTTCTCTATATAATCATAGTTACAAATATCAAATTTTTTTTCAGTATAATAAGCAAAACCATTTTTTCAATTTTTTCAACTCTCCCAGCATATGCAAAATATTGAAAGAGAAATTGATTATTAGAAAGGCAGGAAAGTTCGTTCCCAAGTAATCTCACCGTCGGCAATCGACACTTCAAGCAAAGAAGATTTCAATCTACGCGATTTCTGCCCAAACGGAAAACGTGAAACCGCCGACCGTCTAGACATCCAGATACACGCAATTGTCTGGACCACTCGTAAGAAAACGACAAAAGTCGCCGATGCGCTCGAGCGCAGAAACGCAGAGTCGAACTGACCTCTTCACAAGTATACGTAAGCGACGTCCTCGTCTGCGACTCTGTAAGACTGCAAGTTTGAATGTGCATGCTGCGTTAAACACTCGCGAACACATTGAACACTTTAATATAATTTTGATGTAACACAACGATTTTTATGAGTCATTATAGTTTATAATGACGAATAGTTCGGCCGAATAGTTTGGTAAGATTGCCGACGGTGAAATTGCATGGAAACGAACTTTCTTATCTTTCTAATAATCAATTTCTCTTTCAATATTTTGCATATGCTGGGAGAGTATATTAAAAAATTATTTTGCCTGATTATTACACCGAAAAATCTTTGATATTTGTAACTGTGATTATATAGAGAAATAAATACTATAAATTGTGGTCAAGAAATTGTTTGGTTTGTCAGACAAGACTTACGTTTCTTTAGCAAACAAAAAAAAATATATATATATTCGAAAATTATTTAAATTAAATTAATTTATTAATTAAATTGAATTGAATTTTATATTTGTTTTTTAACTAAAATAATACAAGCGCGTACTATACACGCGCTGTGTAGCTTTTACTTTAATTATAACGTGTAATATTATTAATAAGCATAAGTAGTAAAAAACACACAAAACACTCCAAAATTTCTTTTTCCCTTTATTCTCATTCTTCTTCTCTCTGCCTTTTTTCATCACATATCTCCTATATTCTTATCTTTCTGGACTTCTAATCTCTTTGATTTCTCTTTCTTTCTCTCTCCCTCTCTTTCTTCATTGATTGATTCTTAATTTTGATACAATATGTGTCCAAAGTCCAAAGAAAATATGGTAATGTACAGGATTGGGAAGTAACTCGTTACTTGTAACGAAGTTACAGTTACATTTTTTCGGTAACTGTAACTTAACTTAGTTACTTATTTTTAGTAACTTGTAACTTTTTTAACAGTTAAACTTACTTACTTACTTACGTACTTTAATAGTTACTTGGAAAACGTAAAATAAAATTAAAATTATATAGCAACCGTATATTAATTTAATAAATTTATCAACGTATTTATGGAGCATGTGATTAAATTCTTTTACCTCTACAAGACTATTATTAAATTTTTACTATGTTAAATACAGATTTAAAATTTGTTAAGTAGGTAGATTAATTAATGTGATAGATATTAATTATAAAATTCAATTCTTACATTTTAGTAAAATGTAAGGTTTTTATATTTACAATAATAATTTACAATCATTTCAAGAAAGTAACTTAAAAGTAACGACTCGTTACTTTTTGAGTAACTGTAACTGTAACGAGTTACTTTTCATGGCCAGTAATTTATAACTGTAACTAGTTACATTTTCAACAAGGGGAACTGTAACTGTTACTAGCTACTTTTAAAAAGTAACTTTCTCAACCCTGGTAATATATCATTAGCGGCATAGTACTCGCTTTTGCTGTGCAGTGGGCCGAAAATCACATTAGCTTCTTCCTTCCACCTGTGAGATTTCCTTCCGCCCCATTACAGTTTCCGTTTGTACGCGACGCTCGCCGGCGTCTATTGTCTAGTGATGCGTGGTATTTGCCCATATCGGCAAAGAGAGCAGATTTCGAAAACGCAGACAGATCACCATGGGCGGCATACGACCCCCCACGAGCACGACAGCGTATACGCCACCGTGCAAGATTTTTCTATAAACTGTACACGAATAGGGCGTTCGAGGTTGCACGCGGTTATTTAGACGCGAGAAGACAGCACAAAGGGCCCTTTTATGCGGCAACATGAACGGGCCCGCCTTGCAATTGGACACCACATTGTGCCGAGATCTCTTTCCGTGACCTCGACTTAGAGCACGGCGCAATTGAAGTGCATCAATTTTGCAGCGTCTTACTTATCACTTGGATATTTAACTGATTGGTTTGTTGATGACGATATCGGTTTAGAGATCGATCTAAGAGTAACTCTTTACTGTCAAAGTTTATACTGTCTTGTACTAAACTGTCATGCGCTTCGAATTTCGATGCGATTGAACGGTGCTTAATAAAGATCAATCAATTTTCAAAATATCATCTTTAATATTGGATCAGTTAAAAAATCGGGTCCAGTTTTTGAGTCTTTGACTTCATTGCATTCAGCGAAAGTCAGTTATTTTTTATCGCCGTAAATGTATTATCTTCATAACAAGAATATAGAAAATGTAAATATTTAATCTTATTATTGTTGTCTTCATCACATGCATGTGACAACATTTAATGGAACGTTTTGAATTGAATTTTAACTGATCTAACAAATGAATGGTTGAGTCCGTTTAGTCGATTTATTTGAATAAATAGGATCAATTGCGTAAATTAAGGTTGCAAGAAACTTCAAACTTTAACTGTCATTGGAAAAGATGAGAATAATCCCGAGTCGAAATTTTGATCCTATGTTAAACCTTGAATTCTACACCGCAGTAGGAGCTAAGATAGCAAAGTAGGTTTAATTCTAATGATATAATTTACTTCTACTTTGACCCTAATGATGTTTGAAATTTCTGCTTTCGCTTTTTTAGCGTTAAAGTAGGTTGTATAATAGTAGGATCTTAGGAAGCAAAGTAGATTCAGTTGCGAACCTTTATTAGCGAAGCTTTAGCTCCTATATAGAATATATGTATTTTATAGAAATATTTAAAAAATTTAATAAATAACAAAATAAAAATGTCAAATAGCAAACAAAATATACTATTTATTTGTTGCATATATTTCAGACGTCAAAGTAGGAGTAAATGATATCATTAGAATTAAACTTACTTTGCTATCTTAGCTCTTACTGTGGTGTAGAATTCAAGGTTCAACATAGAGTCAAAATTTCAACTCGGAAATGAGTCAGTATTGTCAAAATAGGTTTCACCTAGATTGATTATCAAACAAAATAGGTTTTACCTAGGTAGATTACTAAGTAGACTCAAACTATTTTTAAGAGCGTCAAAGTAGCGTCAAAATTTTAACAAGGTAGAGTCAAAGGTTCAAAAGAGAAGTTAACGAGTATCAATATCGTTAAAGTAGATCTTACCTAGGCTATAAACCGTCTAAGTAGGCGCAAAATATCCTTCAGAGCGTCAAAGTAGTATCAAAATTTCGACCGTCGAGGTAAAGCCTACAAGAAACGTGAGCTAAAACTTGATAATTAACGGTATATCATCTTGTCAAAACGACTAGACGTGTGCGCCGCGAGAGCTTTAAATTCCCGCAAACACTTGTCGCATATCTTACCGAGAAACAACGTTATCTATCGGTATACTAAAAACAAGTGAAAGTTAGTTAAAAAATCCATAAACGCGGCGCCTCGACAGGACTCTCCAGACGCTGGCGCTTCTTTCCCACAGTTAAGAAGGCGCCCGACCGCCTTTGCTATCTTTTGG